TGAACATCTGTTGCATACAAAATATTATACTAAGTCCTGGGGAAATGAATAGACACAGTTCTGTTGTCAATGAATTTATAGTTTGTGGGAGCAATAAAGACATCAGTAAAGCCAAAAAGCAAAACAATGCTACAGCATAAAATTAAATACTGTAAGCAACTTCTCATACATGGAAAAACATTTTTTTAAAAAAAATTACTTTTGGCCAGGTGGGGTGGCTCACACGTGTAATCCCAGCACTTTGGGAGGCTGAGGCGAGTGGATCACTTGAGGTCAGGAGTTCAAGACCAGCGTGGCCAACATGGTAAAACCCTGTCTCTACTAAAAATATAAAAATTAGCCAGGCGTGGTGGCATGTGCCATATAATCCCAGCTACTTGGGAAGCTAAGGCAGGAAAATTGCTTGAACCTCAGAGGTATGGGCTGCGATGAGCTGAGATGAGGCCACTGTACTCCAGCCTGGGCAGGAGAGCAAGAATCCATCTCAAAAAAAAAAAAAAAAAAAAAAAAAGAGTTGCTCTTAATAAACAGTTTTATAGTCTCTCTCACAATTAGAACTATAAAACCTGACTTTGTCAATTCTTAACAGAGATTATCAAAGACTCATAACATTTCAGATGTGCTTTGGCACACCTTACGGGACTGTAATATACAGTCAGCCCTCCTTATCCTTAGGTTACACATTTGTGGATTCAACCAACCGCAGACAAAATATTTGTGAAAAAAGCAATAAAAAAACCCAATATTGTACAATAACAAAAATATAGTACAAATTTTAAAGACAATGCAGTTATAAGAATTATTTATACAGCATTTACATTGTTTTAGGAATTATAAGTAAGAGATAATCTAAAATCTACAAGAGGATGAACATAGGTTATATGCAAATACTACACCATTTTATATAAGAAACTTGGGCATCTGCAAATTCTGGTATCTGCAGGGGTGTGAGAGGGTGTATCCTGGAACCAATTTCCCACAGATATGAGAGGACTATATATTATTCTAACAGTCTCCTGTATAGGTATTTAAATGGTAATTAAGAAATAACAAAAGATTGGGTGCAGTGGCATGTGCCTGTAGTCCCAGCTGCTAGGGAGGATCACTTGGGCTAGGAGTTTAAGTCTAGCCTGGGCAACATAGTGACACACAAAAAAAGAATGTTTCTGCAATAAAATCTTATGCTAAATTTCGTCTTCTAATCAAATCAAATAATTATTAATCTTTCTTCTTCCCTATAATCTTTTGCCATTTCTATTTATTTATTTATTTGTTTGTTTGTTTGTTTGTTTGATGGAGTTTTGCTCTTGTTGCCCAGGCTGGAGTGCAATGGTGTGATCTGGGCTCACTGCAACCTCCACCTTCCGGGTTCAAGAGATTCTCCTGCTTCAGCCTCCTGAGCAGCTGGAATTATAGGCATCTGCCAGCATGCCTGGCTAATTTTGTATTTTAAGGTAGAGACAGAGTTTCTCCATGTTGGTCAAACTCCCGACCTCAGGTTATCTGCCTGCTTCAGCCTCCCAAAGTGCTGGGATTACAGGTGTGAGCCACCATGCCCAGCCATTTTGCCATTTCATATATAGCAGTACAGCAAGATTAGCCACATATACACTTATGAACTAGTACCTAAAATCACTATAAAATCTTCCAAGATTCTTCTTGATATGAAGACCAGAAAATGATATGTATTATAAATCATAAAGGGCCGTAATAATGAACTATGGCTGACTAACTTAAACTTCAAGAGTTAACCCAGTTCAATGTTTGGTGACTTAATTACAGAAGACAAAATTCTCAGGTGCTGTTGTATTTAAGAAGAAAGACTGTAGTTCAAATCCTAAAACAACTGATAAAATTTAAGTCTGAAAGTGATCTCCAAATGGTACTGAAGGCCTCGTCAGTTTCCAGAGAGATTTAAATTCTTCTAGACTATACATACAAAATGAAAAGATATGACTGATACATCATTAAATGAAAAAAAAAAATACCAGGCGCAGTGGCTCACACCTGTAATCCCAGCACATTGGGAGGCCAAGGCGAGCGAATCACCTAAGGTCAGAAGGTCAGGAGTTCGAGACTAGTCAGGCCAACATGGCGAAACTCCATCTCTACTAAGAATACAAAAATTAGCCGGGTATGGTGGTGAGTGCCTGTAATCCCAGCTACTCAGGAGGCTAAAGTGGCAGAATTGCTTGAACCTGGGAGACAGAGGATGCAGTGAGCCGAGACTATACCACTGCACTCCAGCCTGGGCAACAAAGTGAGCCTCTGTCCCCCACCACCCCCCCAAAAAAAAAGAAAAAAAGAAAGAAAACAAGAAAGAAAAATATTATGTTTTTTAATAATGTGTTATAGTTCCATATTTTTAAATGAAATTATACAGGGGTATGCATGCATGTATCCATGTGTACATCAATCAATAAATTATGTATGGAATTAGACTTTGAAAAGCAGTGCTGCAAATATAATTTTTTTTAAAACTAAAAAATTTATGTAATTAAGCTTTATTAAGTCACATATAAGTTAGACATGTATGTATACACATATATGTAACATATTGGTTGACATATACACCAATATATACCATATGTATACACATACCATTATATGCCATACATACACATTTTATATAATATACATATTCACACACACTATGTATGTATATATACATATATGTCAGCCCATATATGCATATGTATATATTATTTTTTAGGCATTAAGATAAACTAGCACCTCCAGGGGATTGAATGGGGAGGTGGCTGGTTTTCACTTATTAATTTAGAGATAAATTTCCAATCGTTCAAATACACTTAAATTAGCATTAACTGCTCCGATAATTTAAGTTTAAAGGAACCAAAGTAGATTTTACTTTCAATATAAGCACTTTAAAAATTACTAATATTCTCTCGGTCTCTAATTTATATGACTAAGCCAAGCATGGTGGCTCACGCCTGTAATCCCAGCCCTTTGGGAGGCTAAAGCAGGTGGATCACATGAGGTCAGGAATTTGAGATCAGCCTGACCAACGTGGTGAAACTCCGTCTCGCTAAAAATATGAAAAATCAGCCAGGCAAGGTGATGCATGACTGTAATCCCAGCTACTTGGGAGGTTGAGGCAGGAGAATTGCTTAAGCTTGGGAGGTGGAGGTTGCAGTGAGCCCAGATCGCGCCACTGCACTCCAGCTTGGGCAACAAGAGCAAAACTCCATCTCAAAAAATAAATAAATAAAAATGCTAATATGACCGCATTTGCTTTACCTAACATAGTATCATAACTATAAACTTTCACTTAATACTAGAGGATATAGGCTGGAACTGGTGGCTCATGCCTATAATACCAGCACTCTGGGAAGCTGAGTGAGGAGGATCACTTAAGGCCTGGAGTTCAAGATCAGCCTGGTCAACGTAGTCAGACCTTGTCTATACCAGGAAAAAAAACCAAATAAACAAACAAACATTAGCTGGGTATGGTGGCACACAGCATGTACCTGCACTCCCACTTACTTGGGAGGCTGCAGGTGGGAAAATCACATGAGCCTAGGAGGTCAAAGTTACAGTGAATTATGATCACGCCACTATACTCTTGCCTGAGTGACACAGCAAGAACCTGTCTATTGGTGGGGGGGAGGAACAACTAGAGGATATGGACAACAAACAATTTTAATCTTTAGATATATGATTAAGATATCTCACCTAGGTTCTGCCAAAACCATGCCCAGGTCTAGCTTAAATAATCAGCTCTTCAGAAAAATGTCAAAATAATTTCATATTTGAATTATAACTCTTATATTTTATCTTGCCTTTTAACCATTTCTTTCTGTAACATTTTTTAATTGTTATAATTTGAAGACTTAGTCAAACAAAAATTTGAAATAATACTGATGGCAAAAAAGTGAATCTTTTACCTATAAGACAAAACATAATACAAAAAAATCAAATTATACATTTGAAGGGTTTCTCTCTCCTTTCTTGATATGGTCTTTCTTCAGAATAATGTAGCCTCAGTTATTAACAGAAAGAAACTACATGGATGGATCAGTAACTCAGCATTGTTTCAAAATTTTTCCCATTTATCAAAATGATTTTAAAAATAGAAACAAAAAATGAAAATATTTTCAACTCAGAATTTACCCCTAAGTGATTCTCCTTATCAGAACAGACTGGGTATTTCCTTAAAATTTTAAATAATATTTACTCAAAAATTCTATAATAAAAGGACTGCTTTCCCACAATAAACTCTAGACTTATTGGCTGATGATGCCAATCTATTCCATTTTAAAGTTTACACTCTGCAATATTATAGATGCTTTTATAGTATTAAAGTTCATGTGTCCTGATCAATAAGAAACATGAATTCAGAAAATAGTCCTTTATGTGTATTTCCATACATCTCTTTAGTAGAGGCATGCAATACTAATTCACTTTTTTTTTTTTTTTTTTTTTTTTTTTGAGACAAGGGTCTTACTCTGTCGCCAAGGTTGGCGTGCTGTGGCACAATCTCAGCTCACTGCAACCTCTGCCTTCCAGGTTCAAGGATCCTCCCACCTCAGCCTCCCAAGTAGCTGGAACTACAGGTGTGTGCCATGGCGACTGACTAATTTTTTCTATTTTTTGTAAAGATGGAGCTTTGCCATGTTGCCCAGGCTGGTCTTGAACTCCTGCACTCAGGCGATCCACCTGCCTCAGCCTCCCAAAGTGCTGGGATTATGGGTGTGAGGCACCACGCCCAGCCCCAATTCATTTTTCAACATAAGTTTTTGGTTTTTGTTTTTTTTGTTTTTTTTTTTGAGACGGAGTTTCGCTCTTGTTACCCAGGCTGGAGTGCAATGGCGCGATCTCGGCTCACCGCAACCTCCGCCTCCTGGGTTCAGGCAATTCTCCTGCCTCAGCCTCCTGAGTAGCTGGGACTACAAGCACGTGCCACCATGCCCAGCTAATGTTTTTTGTATTTTTAGTAGAGACGGGGTTTCACCATCAACATAAGTATTAAGACTTGGGTAGGGCACGGTGGGTCACGCCTGTAATCCCAGCGCACTGGGAGGCATAGGCAGGCGGACTGCCTGAGTTGAAGAGTTCAAGACCAGCCACGACAACATGGCAAGGCTCCATTTCTACAACATATTAAAAAAAAAAATTAGCCAGGCCTGGTGGCACATGCCTTCTGGTCCCAGGTACTCAGAAGACTGAGGTGGGAAGATTGCTTAAGCCTAGGAGGTGGAGGTTGCACTGAGCTTGTGCCACTGAACTCCAGCCTAGGTGACAGAGTGAGACCCTCCCTCCCACAAAAAAAAAAAAAAAAAAAAAGTTTCAACACTTAGTATACTGTCTGTTGAACAGAAATTAATGATATCAGGGAGAAATGGACCTAGACTTAGACGTAGTTATTCAAAATCTAGACCTAGAAATAGACCTGGTATTCAAGAGTGAGATATTTAGAAATGATCATGAGATTTAGAGAGTTTAAGTTTTGCTGCCAGAGGACATGGTTGGTGATGCTGTAATGTTATCTGTACATCCGCTACAACCTTTGCAATCTCAAGACTTAACAAGCACTGGTTAAGTCCAGTCAATCAAAGTAACCAGAAAATATTTAAGATGCTTGTCCTCCTCTCCTATTATCTCATTGCTGTTTTCTTTCCCTTTTGCCTATGCCACAATCCTGTCAAATGTTCAAGGATATTAGCTATGCCTCAGGGTAGAATGCTTCAGCAAAGATTGCAGAGATTTCTCCTTCCGGTATAAATTTGGTTTTACTAGCAGTATTTTTACAAGGTTCCAAAGATTCTATATTAACCTGTGCACTAGGGTAAGACAACTTCAAAAAGAGGTCAGTTCTAGAGGCCAGGAGGGGAAAAAAAAAAGAGCTAGGGCTTGAGATGGAAGGATGAGGATGGGACCAGGGATGGGTATGTAGGCAAAATATTTCATTAGAAATATGCAAGACTGACTGACTTAGGGATCGTGTGACCAGTTTACTTGACTATGGGTGGACTGTGGCAAATGACAAGAAAAGAAAGTAGGTTCATTATGCAGGAACCAGGACATCCTGCTATGTATTTCAGATCCGATCTTTAAAGATTGCAGGCCAGGCATGGTGGCCATGCCTGTAATCCCAGCACTTTGGGAGACAAAGGCGAGTGGATCACGAGTCCAAGAGATCAAGGCCATCCTGGCCAACATGGGAAAACTCTGTCTCTACTAAAAATACAAAAATTAGCTGGGTATGGTGGCACGTGCCTGTAGTCCCAGCTACTGGGGAGGCCGAGGCAGGAGAATCGCTTGAACCCGGGAGACGGAGGTTGCAGTGAGGCAAGATCATGCCATTGCACTGCAGCCTGGTGACAGAATGAGACTCTGTCTCAAAAAAAAAAAAAGAAAAGAAAAAAAATCAAGAGGAAAAAAGTGCTACATAAATAATGTTTTGTGAAAATGGCTCTGGTGTCTGCAGGTAAGAATGAAAAAGGAACAACCTGAAGAGACATGCAATACTAATCCAATTATCAGGTATCATTACAACAGGCTACAGATGATTAATGCAAAAAAATACATGATGTGCAGTAAAAATAAAGAAGGTATAGATATATAAGACATGACAAAGACAACATCCACAGTAACTGGAGACTGTCCACATGCAGGATACAAGAGAAAGGTTCTAACTCTAGCTGACTAGCCAACTAAGAATAACACTGCTAATACAGAGAACTATGAAGCACAAACTGGTTTGAAGTAATGGTAGAGAATGTCTAACAGGTACTTGGGGTTGGAAGTACACCAAGAGGAGAGGTCAGGGTTAGAGATGAAGATGAAAGAGGAGAAAAAAGAGAAATAGCCATGGCCATAATGGGGTTGAGATTCCTTCTCCCTACACTGATATGGTCCTCAACATTTATTAAACATCAGTCATGTACTCCAAAAAAAGAAAAGTAGAGAAAAAAGAAAAATGGGGGGTGGAGGGGAGACACAGATAGATGGAAGGCAAAGGCTGAAAATAGAGCCTTGAGGAATACTCACTTCAAGAAGGCAAAAATAGAAACAGAGGATAAAAAGATTAAGTATAATCGTGTACTATTCACAAAAGCCAGGGATACAGAGGACAGCTGTTTCTTTTCTTCGATCTCACATCCTTTATACTAGGGAAGGTATTTCATAAATTGATACCAGAGGTGAATATATAACAACGCCAAGTAGAAATTTAGAAAGCTTAAAGAAAATGAGAATTTGGAAATAAATGACTGAATTGAGCAAACAGGAGTTAAACAGTTTTCAGAGCATTGTTTTACTAACATGAGTAAAAAGAATGGTAGCAAATCTGATAAACTCAGGGTCAGAATGAAAAATAGACATAATGCCTGCATATAAATTTTAACAAACTTTCTATTGGCATATTTATTTCCAAGTGGCAATGAAGTATGAAACTAATTGCTGATACATTTAACTACCCACAGTTGCCTCTATCAAGGAGTTTTTGCTTTGTTTTGGTCTCTGTGCCTTTGATCATATTTTCTTACCCATTTCAAAATGCCCAAATCTTAAAATGCTACCTGAAATGTCATCTGCTCCACAATGCTCTTCCTGATTACTTCCAACCAGAAGTAATTTCTCTTTCCTCTGAACTTACATAGCACTTTCTATTTGTTTTTAAGACATACTTATTTTATCTATTAGATGAATTCTCTAAGGATAGAACCTGTCCATTCATTTTCATATTTCTCACAAAGAATTAAGCTAAAGGCTGGGTGAGGTGGCTCACGCCTGTAATCCCAGCATTTCAGGAGGCCTAGGCGGGTGGATCATTTGAGGTCAGGAGTTTGAGACCAGCCTGGCCAACATTGTGAAGCCCCGTCTCTATTAAAAATACAAAAAATAACTGGGTGTGGTGGCAGGCACCTGTAATACCAGCTACTCAGGAGGCTAAGGCAGAAGAATCGCTTGAACCAGGGAGGCAGATGTGGCAGTAAGCCGAGATCATGCCACTGTACTCCAGCCTGGGTGAAATAGCAAGACTGTGCCTCAAAAAAAAAAAAAAAATTAAGCTAAAACGTATTACACAATATAAGCTCATCAGTATATGAAAAGAGAAGGTCGGCAATAACTTCAAACTACAAATCAGAGGTAACTGAATGAATCACCACGTACAGACCATCCCTAAATTGTTAAGTCAGTTAATGTTCATTCAATCATGTTATCTTCAACACCGCACGAAGGTCTACAAACAGCAAAAGCTATTTAAGAGCTGAAAATATAGGGCAGAAAAAGTAGAAAATAATAAACACAAAAATAGCATTTGATAAATGCCATGCTTATTCTAATGTGGCTTGGGAGAAAATAAAGCAGCAACTGCTGCTACAGCCACCACCACCAGCATATAAAAGACAACCCAGAAATATTTCACAAGCAATTAATGCTTAAAATGTACTTTAAAAAACTAGCAAGAGTTTTCCAGATGGATTAGGGGGATGGTGGGGAGGCTTGAGGCAGGGGAACAACTTTTCAAGGGCATAAAACAGCATGGCATACATGAAGCCATATTTCCAGAAAGGTAGGCAGGTCAGTACATCAAAAAAAACCTATTTAAAAATATCCATGTAAGAGAGTTCTGCTGGTTCTAAGGTAGTATGAAAATTGTAAGACTTTCTACACCAATAGAAATCTTTACATTATACCTACTAGAAAATAGCAAATCACAGTTAAGTACAGAAACACTCCTTTGCATGACACATGGTACAGAGAGGAAGTATAGGTAATAACAGAGTAAACCATGGTATGGCTGAAATGCACGATTCTATTTTGGAAGAGAGGCATGGCATACAAACTAAAGGCAAGAAGTTAGTTTTGTTAAAAGTGTCCCTTTTTTTTTTTTTTTTTTTAAATAAAGACAGGGTTTCACCATGTTGGTCAGGCTGGTCTTGAACTCCTGACCTCAGGTGATCCGCCTGCCTTGGCCTCCAAAGTGCTTGGATTAC